GGCCAGCGGTGGTGATGCCATTCATGATTCGTGACTTGGGAATCATGCCTCTTTATGCTACCCAGAACCTGCTTCTAACGTTGCTTGCTCTGATCCTGGCAGCCGGAGGCAGGGCGATACTGCTCGCGCCTCGGTTCCATCATGAGGTTCAGCACCAAAAATTGGACTGCGCTGGAAAGGGCGCTGCCAGATCTTGTCTGTTGTTTCTTCCGTGTGCGGCATTCCAGTTCTTGGTAGTTCAGGTGATGCCTGGGCTGATGTCCTTGTTCATATTGTGGCGTTTGTTGGGTTCATGTGCGGTGCCGTGTGGCGCAGGTGCCAACAAAAGCATGATCCACAATAACTTTTGGCGTGGGATGCGCCGACCGTCAGTAGTCAGTAGCCGCATAGCCTGTTGTGAACAAACCGACCTGAGATGTTTATTGATAATGCCCTTTGCAGCTCGCGATGCACACCCCACGCAGACTGCTGGCCACTGACACCCATCGTTTGCCGAGGATGAGACGCTGGCGCAATGCCTTTCGGCGTTCCTGGGCTTGAACTTTGTCGTGATAGGGCATGGTTCTGTGATGTTCTGTGTGTTTGGTGAAGCAACAACATAGCCGACTCTGGGGGCACACAACATGAGTTGAGATGAGTTGAGTTTTCTTGTGTCCAGCACAGTTCGTGTCAATTGATGTCCGGCATGTTTTTCTCTCCTGTGTCTCTGCGACCAAAAATGCCACGTCTGCCACTGGTGACGTCAGTCCCCATCATCACCATCATCATCATGGGGAATCATCTCCAAGAGCCACAAGCAAAAGACAAGTCCTGCCGGAGTCCTGCCTCAAGCAAAAATTCTATTAAAGTGCTCATGTTTCGATGGCATCTGCACCACACGGCGACCCCAAAACCACCACAATATGAACAAGGACACCATGCACCAAAGGCGCAAGAGACAAGGTCTAAAGCCGCTGCTCCACGGCTGTGCCCTTTCCTTTGCAGTCCAATTGGCGCTGAGCCTCACGAAAGAACTAGGGCACAAGCAGGAGTATGGTCGAGGTTGCCATCGACTTGCCTCCGACTGCCAGGATCGGAATAAGTAACGGTGGAAGCAGGTTTGAGGTTGCAAACCGAAGCATAATTCGCATATCGGTGTTTTGTGGCCCCCCGCTCCTGCCGTAAACGATGTAAACGATGAAATTGTAATCGCAATCAAGACCTCCCACCAAGAGTCAAGACCTCCCAATACGCTCACAAGCATTGCTGACTACGGCCACGGTATCGGCGCGTGGACGCTATGGGTTGGACATGGGCCCCAAATTCAAAGGTTCTTGGCCAGTGAAGCGTCGAGGCACCACAACCTCACAGAAGTTGTGGCTTGCCGATTCCCTTTCGTGAAAGTTGGGGTGTGGGATGAGATGAGGGCGTATGGCATGAACTGGGAAATGACCCTTGCCAGCTGCCCTAACCCTTGGTAAATGAACCCTTCCCGTCCCCCGCGCCTCTCCTCGAAGTATGTGGCTCTGACTTCCTCCCTCGCCCCTCCCCGCCCTCTCTCCCCGCCTCGTTTTGGTTGGGTGGGTGGGAGGTCCAGAAACCTGGGCAACTCTTAAATCCTAAGCCGGTGTCACCAGGCTTGCGGATTGTCGAATGGTTCTCCGCTTTCTGGAGGAAGCTTCTGGCCTGGCCCTGTTGGATGCGACCTGGCCGCGGTGCGAGGCCCAGTTCTGCCTTTGGGGGTGCTGGCTTCACTGCCTGGGAGCTCTTCGACATGCCGAAACGGATGCCAGAAATTACCCACATAATGCATCAACTCGGTGCAGTCTTGGTGTTCCATGTACAGTCACATGACTAAAGTGACTAAAGTTGATGACGTATTGAGGCGAGAAAGCGCTGCATTGGCGGAGCCAGCAGGTGGGGGAAAACAGAGCAGAGAAGATTAGACGAAGATCATACGAGTAAGACTCGTTTAGAGAGTAGGTCTGTAATCGTAAGTTATTTAGAGAAGCAAGAGAGGAAGCTTCGACGGGATTACAGCGATGGTAAGATTAAGAGGTTTAGCAGTCGCAGGATCCGGCAGGTCAGCAACAGACTCATGCCATTCATTGCATTGCCATGGTACATTGTCCAGAGGCATTGTCCAGAGGCATGACATGATTTTCGTTTAGATGATTTTCAATGGTGCTCACTTACACTTTCTGATTTCCCCAAGATTAGATATTTTGATGCTTTTTCATTAGGAATCATGGAAGTAGAAGAGTT